CAAGTAGCTGGAACTACAGGCGCGCGCTGCTACGCCCTGCTAATTTTTTTTTTATTTATTGTAGAGATGAGGTCTCACCAAGTTGCCTGGGCAGGTCTCAAACCCGCGAACTCTGGCAATCCACTCACCTCGGCCTCCCAAAGCGCTGGGATTACAGGCTGAGCCACTGAGCCCAGCCATGCTCTCTTCCATTAAGCCCTTGCTCCTTATCAATCTTTGAACAATTTCTCTGTTGAAACAGGCAGTCTTGTCATTCCCAAGTTATTTTTCAACTGAGCAGGACTGAACCTTCTTGCTGTTTCTACTTTCACTTCCATCTTCCTGTTTTCACTCTACAGTTTGGCCTGAGAATGTTGATTTCGGCCACAGCGTTACTGAAAATACTACAATATATTGGTCCTAACAAATCTGTCCCCATTCAAAGCTTTTCTGAAGGAACATAAATGTACAGGTGCTGCCACCCATGTTGTTTCCCGTATTAGAGCTTAACTCAGTCTAATTTCTGGTAGGCATAAAAGAATTTCATTTTTAAACTATGCGCCTACTCTGTAATGCTATGTACAGTTCGGTAGTGAACAGAATGTCCACCTGACAGCTGTGCTTTTCATTTAAAAGAGCATTCACTTAAGCTTTGGGTGGATGATAACCAGTTCCTTGAAACTTTGGTCACATTTGTGCTGAAACACCATGGGTCTAGACTTGCGGAGATCGTAGGGGGCGGGGGGGGGTATAGCTTTCAGGCGAAAGCCACCAATTCAGATTTGGTCTGAAGAGCGGCCAGCACCGTCTTGGCTGTCGGTGAGATGAAGCCAGCCCGTCAGTCTCTCCCCATGTGATCCGCATTCCTTACAATTAAACCATCCATCGAATGCCGTTAGGGTTTCCCACGTCCAGCTTGGTAGTAAAACTCCGAAGCCTCAGCTGGGCCATCGGACACTGAATCTTTGCCTCCTTCATAAAACAAGAGTTTGCCACATTCATACGGCTCATGGCCAGCAGCACACTTAAGACACTTATCTCCCTCGCGCTCCGTGAGCATCACAGAGATGGCAGCACCCACCTGGTACATGTGGGCAACATTGGACCCAAAATACTTCGCCCCGTAGAGTTTGCCGTCGGGCCACTTGACTTGAACGACTTCTCCCTCGGCAGGAGGGCCCAGCTTCACACAGTCTCGGCTCTGCGGAACAAACAGAGACAGGTTTTTCGAGGCGAGGGTCTAAGCAACTGCATTTAGAACTTAGCAAATGATGAACTCCTGGCAATTAAGAGGAGTTATTGCCTCTGTGTTTTACGGATTATGATCTCGCATGGGTGTTCGGGGAAGAGAGATGAGCCAAAGGAGTACTTAAAGATTCAGCCTACATCGTAAAGTTGCAAGGAACCGCCATAATCCAAGCAGGAGAAAATAGCAGCATTTACGTTTGCTGCTTGACAAAAAATTGTTCAGGGGTAACTAGACTATGCACGGGAACTGCTTTAGTTGAGGAACAGACCAGCTGATGATTTATAACACCTGTCATTTACATAGCTTTCTGCAAGGCAGTTAACAAAATGCTTGAGTGTACACCGCATTTGATCCTTATAATCAATCCGCGAAGCAGGCAGGGATTATTAACGATCCCCATTCTGCTGACAAGGAAACTGAGCCTCCCAGGAGGCTTCCTTATGTCGTCAGGACTCTGGAGAAGGGAGGCTGAACGGGAGGATAGGAGCCGACACCGACGTGGAAGTGTGTGGGGAGGCAGAAAGGGAGGCAGAAAGGGAGGCGAGCCGGGAGGCCAGCCGGCCAGCGCAGCCGGGGGAGGAAGAGGGGCGCCCGCCGCACGGCCACCAGCCAGGGCCTGTCTCCACAACATGCCTCCGCCAGCATCCGCGGTAAGTGGCTGGCCCACTCCCTTCCACGGGAATCATGGTGGCACCCCAATCAGGGTCTTCATTGCAGGCCTCCGATCCACATTCCAAGCTCCTAAGGCAGTAACTCTGAGTGAATTCCCGGTGGCTGATCCCGGAAGGGGCTGTTTTGTTTGCTCTGGGGAGGTGGGGGAAGGGACACAGGTAAGAAAACACTTGGGCACAATGTGCAGACTTTGGGAGTGGCAGGCATTGAGGATGGCACAATACAGTTTTCATAGAAAGGAATTAAATCCTTGACCACTTTGGTAACTTTTTTGCACATTTAGCAATCCATGATTTGCTAATACCGGTATTTTACTGATGAGGCCAATCTGAATGATTGAAATGCACACGTGACCAGTCAAGGCATAAATGCAGTCCGGGCACATTCTGTGGTTTAAATGGGAGGTGTACACAGGATCTATTTAGTTGTTTATGACTAGAAATTCACCATGTGTCTCCTCTAACTTCGAACTGTGCTTCCGTCAGGGCTACAGGCAACACTTGTCACACACCCAGCTTACTAATACTATTCATTGTTTGGCCCTAACTCACTTAACAGATAGAACTGTTAAGTATTTCTTCCATCCTAGAGGAGGCACTGCATAAAGTGTGCTCACGTAGGGCGTGGTGGCTCACGTCTGTCATCTTTGGGAGGCTGAGGTGAGAGGACTGCCTGAACTCAGGGGCTCAAGACCAGCCCGGGAAACTTGGCGAGATCTTGTCTCCACAATAAATCAAAAAATCAGCGGGGTGTGGTGGTGCATGCCTGTAGTTCCTGCTACTTGGAAGGCTGAGGCAGAAAGACCGCCTGAGCCCGGCAGGTCAAGGCTGCAGCGGTCCGACCTGGGCGACAGTGAGACTCCAGCCCCAAAATAAATAAATAAAACTACAAAGTCTGCTGAGACGTCAAGGGTTCTGTGAAGCGAGCAAGGTGGACGGCCTCCACCGTCCTTGGAGGACCCCGTGACCTCCTGCCCTGCCCGTCACCAGGCGAGCCTGCCTGATGGCATGGGCCAGGGTTCGGGAACATGTCTGCCCACAGATACACACCAGTCTCCAATAGCAGCTTTAACAGCAACAAAGGGGCCGGGCCTGGCGGCTCGTCTGTCACCCCCGCACGTAGGGAGGCTGAGGTGAAAGGACTGCCTGAGTTCAGGGGTTCAAGACCAGCCTAGGTCACTTGATGAGCCCTCGTCTCTACAATAACTCAAAAAATTAGCTGGCATGGTAGTGCGCGCCTGCAGTTCTAGCTGCTTGGAAGGATCGCCGGAGCCCAGTAGGTCGAGGCTGCGGTGGCCAGGAGTGTGCCACTGCACTCCAGCCTCGGCAACGGAGTGAGACTCCGACTCAAAAAATAATAATAACAACAAAGGTGACATCTTAAACCTCCAAGTTGGGACTCCTCTGTCTCTCTGTATCACTTTTCCTTGAGCAAGATGAGACCGCTATTTATCGGCCCTTCTTGAATCCCAGCAGAGGCAAAGCCAGGCCTCCAGGAATGGAAGGCCGTACTCCCCACGACCCACCGACCACACACAGCTCCCGGGCTCGAGAGTGAAGGCTTCCCTTTGTCCTTCAGTCTACAGACTTGACCTTCAACCGAGGTTTATTAACCTTTGAAATAAAACTCCCCAAAATAAATCCTGACCTGCCATGTTAGGTATGATACTACCAGGTGAGGCCAGGGCCTTGGAGAGGTGGGCTAGACAAGGCTATACTACATTTGAGCAATTCATCTTAAGACACAGCTCAATTGACAAACTGAGTGGATGCAACTTTATCAAGTGACAAGCAGTTCTTAAGAAGAAAAAAAAAGATTTTTGAAAAGCAAATGTCTGAGATATAGTTTGATACTTTTTTGAGTCAGGGGTCTTACTCTGTCGCCCAGGTTGGAGTGCAGTGGCACAGTCATGGCCTACTGCAGCCTGGACCTTCTGGGCTCAGGCAATGCTTCCACCTCAGCCACCTGCATAGCCGGGACTACAGGTACTCGACGCCATGCCCAGTGAATTGCTTTTATTTTTTGTAGAGACAAGGTCTCTGTGCTGCCTAGGCTGGACTTGGATTCCTGGGCTCATGCAATCCTCTCACCTCAGCCTCCCAAAGTACTGGCGTTAGAAGCCTAAACCACTGCACATTGCCCTTCTTTTTACTCATTATAAGTCAGCCCTCCACCCACAACAAATCTTTCCTCCTCCTACCCCGTACTGGGACTTGTTACATGTTTTATGTTTTGAGTCGGAGTCTCACTCTGTCACCCAGGCTGGAGTGCAGTGGCCGCTCCGGGTCATCGTTGCCTCGACCTGCTGGGCTCAGGCAATCCTTACCCTCCAAGTGGCTGGCTAATTTTTTGATTGATTGTAGAGACGAGGTGTGGCCAAGTGGCCCAGGCTTGTCTCGAACCCGTGGGCTCAGGCAATCCTCTTGCCTCCGCCTCCCAAAGTGCAGGGATGACAGGCCTGAGCCACCATGCCTGGCCACAACAAACTGTAATTTGGCATTTAAAGTGTCTGACCTCAATTCCTCACAGCTCAGCCTCTGCCTGTATCAGTCACAAAGATCAAACTCCCAATCTTTCATGTCAAACTCCAGGAAGAGTCTTGGGTGTGTTTTCTCAAACTTCTTGCTTTCAAAACTCTTTTACGTTATACATACCAGAAGAAAGCAACCAACTGTATCACAAGATAAATCATTCTGACGCTTCCACCTCCACAACCAGGAGCATCTTAGCTATGATGACTGCCGCCTCACCCACTGCCAGGTAATTGCTGGAGGTGAACCTGTTTTGATTGCATGGAACTTTACTTGGTATACTGACTCCCTAGCTACTTTCCAAATGGATTTAAGGTAGCTCGGAGCAAAACACAAACAAGTTTATTTCTGTAACATTTAGTTTCCTCCATGAAGCAACGGTGTCAATTCATCAGTTGTTTTACATCTTTTTTGCCAGAAACTTCCTATGACTACGTGGGGTATGAATTTAAACAAGAATGAAACTAGACGCATGTGGGCTGATGAAAAAAAGTTGAAAGCGTTGATATTTAAGCTCTCCTGGTCCCTCCAAAGTGGGAGCTGGTGGATGTCCCCAAAATGGTTGAAATCCTTAATTCAATACCTATTTCCAGGCCACCTACTGTTCAAGAGACACTGGGAGGCAAAACTGTCAGCTGCCCAAGCTAGGGACAGAGGGCACTGTGCCCACCTTGAGGCCTGTCACATTGAGCCCCATGGTTGTATGGGGTACGGGGCCGCACGGGTCCTGGCAAGAGAGTGAGATCGATGAGGACTTCAACCAGAGCAGAACTTGGATTTGATTTATACATTAAGTTTAGGAGGAAGACTTCATTTGAGACAAAACAAGTTTTCTTTTAAAAATAAAAGTTTTGAGGCTGGGCTCAGTGGCGCAGCCTTTTTATCCCAACACTCTGGGAGGCCGAGGCTGGTAGATTGCCTGAGCCCGTGGATTTGAGACCAGCCCGAGCAACTTGATGAGACCTCGTCTCTACAATCAATCAAAAATCAGCCGGGTATGGTAGCACATGCCTATAGTTCCAGCCACTTGCAAGGCTGAGGCATAAGGATCACTGGGGCCCAGCAGGTTGATGCTGGGGTGCAAAATGCAGGGATTCAATTTGTGGAAAGCAACAGTTGGGTTGCTGTCCTCTCTCGTATGGTCTCCAACTGGCTCACACACCCCTGGGTCGTGCACTTGGAACCAGGCACTAGAGCACAGCACCTCTGAGTGTGTTCCCAACACTGGGGGCACATGCTAAAAAGGAAGATTGCAGGCCACCCAAAGCTCTCTCTGACTCAGCGTTTTGTTTTGTTTTGTTTTTTAATCTAGAATTTAAGACTGATGGTAGTAAAGGATGTAAAACCTAAAGAAGGTTTTCCTAATGCGGTTCTTAGTGAGTCATTGGAACGAGTAAACACCTTTGCTGGAAAAGTATTCGCATGAAAACCTTGACTGATGCGTTTTTCTCAGTTGCTGTCTAGACCCTTTGAAGCCGCCTGCCTTCCCCTGGCATGAACAGCTGTTTGCCAATGTCTCCACTGCCTCCAGGGATGTGTAAACTCACCTGAGATCTACCAGCGCCTTATCCACAAGGACGCTGGTGTCTGGAGCTACAGGCAAGCCTGTAGTTAGAGGACTAAATAGGTGATGTGGAAATTAAAGCCAAATTGTAATCACAGTCAAGAGAAGACTCTGGCTCCGTTCAGTTACTTAAAGGACTAAGATGCGTGTTACCCAGGCCAAGAAGTCAGTGGTATATGCATTCC